ACACCCCCAAATTAACTCAATGGGTTCTCTTTGTAAGAAAACACACAACTTTGCCCTCAGCCAGGGAAGGCAGAAACACTGCTCAACATACAAGGTAACAGATCAGCAAGGTTTTGTCTTTGGTGAGGAAAGGGACAGGATAAACGCCCCAACCTTGGTCCGCAGGTGTCTGTCCTGGGTCTGAAGAGCATTCACTTCTCACCTCTCCTCTGAAGCAGGCACATGTGATACATTTCTGGAACAGATGGTTTACTTCTCACCACATGCACTCTTTTCAGTCACCAACAGCCTTTTGCATAGACTTGCTTTGAGGTATCAGAATTTTGTGTACTTGTAAACGTCTGAATGATAATTTAACTTTGAACTCAATTGTGAGTGCCACATTGCTGGAAACAAAGTTTAATGAGAAAAGGAATACCAGAAGCAATGGACCAAGATTTTACAAAGGGAAACAAATTAACTAGTTCTAGTACTGGTGCTCTATGGAGGTTGATTTAATCATGGTTTGAAAATTACCAGGTAGTTTAAAAATCTTCACTCATCTTAAAAGAGTTGTCCAAAGAGTTTCTACCAATGAAAATATAAATAGGCACATGGATCTAGTTGTAAGTATTACTGACGCAGCGGCAGTGATTGAGGATTTCAGTAAAGAGAAGCCTGTCAGAGCTGATGATGGTATTCTTGTTGCAAACTTAGAGTTTCTGCTTAGGGAACAGAACAGGAACGTTTACATGAAACACTCTGCTGTACAACTTTTGCCTTATGGTTTGTAAGGCAGTGTGTCCCTGTGTCAAGCTGTCCCTGACATACCCATTGAATATGTGCCTGTAGACTAAACATATATAATAAATAATCCTCCAGAGTGTTATTATTAAACGGAGATATCTTTACAAAAAAGGTCTGGTGAAACTATTACAACTAGAATTCTATTAGAGCAAAAAAAAATTTTTTCTCCCAAAGCTGGATGGTTATGAAACCTGCAGATAACTTTTCATATAATTGTTTCATCCATTAAACTAGTTTAAAGGTCTCCATGAAAAGAGAATGTAACAACATAGGCAATGGTCTAGGTTGAAGAAACTGTACGCAAACAATGAAAAGATCTTCTAAAATTTAACTGGAAAATGCTCAGTTAGGCCAGCCAGGCTCCATATGGCGGACTGGAGACAGGATTTGGCTTACTGACTTTTAAGTTTTTTTAAGTTTCTCATTTACCTGGACATGAATTGTATGCCTTCTAACAGCAGATTTCTGTACTCCGTATATTCTGCTAACTCTTCAGAGGCACTCTAAAATTGTTTGCCCAGTGTCCTTGATTCCAGGCCACTTTGCAGTGGAATCTGATCTCTGTCCTGGTGTGACCATGGTAAACAGAATCAGCTGTATTATGCATTAACTTCTGTAATATTGAAATAGATGTGTAGCTACCATAAATAAAATGCCTAATGTGAAAAAGTTACTAAAGTATTCAAAGCTAAACGGACTTTTGCTATATATATATTTTTAAGAAAATAGCTTATAAATATAATAATTATCTTCCCCCACCTTGCAATAAGAAAATGAATGGGCATTTGAAAAAGAAGAATTCAATAGGTAGTGAGTCTAGTCCATTGACTATATTGTGAAATTTTATTTTTCAAGAATGTAAATAATTTGGCATTAAAATGTATTCTGTAGGTCTTCTTCACATTGACAATCGAAATTTTAGTTGCTCAATAGCAACTGAATAAAGTTGATAACATTCATTAATTATTCTATGAATCATTTCTGGAAAAAAAGGGATCATTTTAACAATGGCTTGTAATATTGGCTTTATCCCCCCCCCACTCTCTCTTTCCTTTCCTCCTCCCTCTCTCCTTTCAGTAGCCCCTTGACAAGCCATTGAGGGGTGAGGAGAATCCTCTTCAGCATAAAATAATGCATCTTTTCAAATGTTTCCAAAGTAGCTAATATGCCAAAACCTATCATTTAAAAGCAATTTAACTCTCGGGTTGAATACATGCTGAGTATCCAATCATAAAGTAGGCCTGCAAGTGCAAAAGGCACATTAAATGACCAACACTCAGTGTCCAGATGTCCCGTGATTTGTAAGCTACATCACTATAGCCTTTGCTCTAGCAGTTACCATTCTACTTCTGATTATTTAATATATGCATCTAATCCAACTTATCATGCATTCCTATTTTACTTAACACATTTATTGTAATACAGAACTCTGCGTTTCCATGTAACAAATTTAAACTAATTATTTAAGCCTTAGTGTTACCAACATGAAACAAAAACACTATCGCTAATTTTCTTCCCACGAGCTTTAGTAGTGTGCCAAGTGACTTCTCTCCCTTTTCATATAAATAAAAACTTTCTTGAGCAGACTGACTTCTGTTTTTAATGAAATGAATTCTCCTCTTCTAACTCAGAGTCGTCTATAAACGTGAGTCACCTGGGAGCCTGGCCAAAGTCTGGGCGAGCACAGCTGAAGGGTCCCCTCAGAGAGGATTTGGTTTGCTTTCCTAACTTTCTAAAAATAGTCGCTTACACAGGCTCCCTCCATCTCATGGTTCAAGAGCACAGAGGAGGCTGGGCTATGGATTTAAGTAACACCTAGAAAACATTTTATTGAAGACGTCAAGATATTACAAGTTTTCAAAATTCCTGCCGTTGACTTTCTGAGACAATACAAATGATCTGGCGGTTACAGGCAGGGAAAACTCAGAGCACTCCCAGACTTCAGGACTTGGAGCATGAGTCACAGAGTAACTTTAACTGCTTTAAAACATGGTTTCGATCTGTGTTAGCCACGAAACCAAACACAGCTAGCTCAAAGGTAGGGTTTCCAAGCACTGTCTGAAGAACCTCATATTGTATTGATTGCAAGCATAGCATGAACATGGATTCTGAAATATAAACACTTCAATTGCACATCCAAAATTGTATTTAACAAATTCTTAATAGTTATTTTGCTAACATTTAGGGAGCCATTGTCTGCTAAGAAGGCTCACTGTAAAATCGTGTGGATTTTTCCCTCCCTCTTAACCAAAACCAAAATATTTACCAGCTTTTAGCCACTAGCAATTAAATCAGTTTTTCTTGGGAAAACAAAGAACTGGGACAAAGTTTGTATTGATTAATGTCTCTAACGACTTTGGCTGAGGAATAAAATTAGAATCTTAAAATTAAACGTTTTTGTTTTTGTTTTTTCAAGTCCTTGATGTGGCTGTTGAATCTTCTCAACCACGCAGTATGTCGTTAAGCAATGCTGCTGCTTCACTCAAAGGGAGACTGTTTGGTGACCACAAATGAGCAGCAACTAAAAAAATATTTTGAGATGGAAAAATAGCAACTGAATATTAATGTCTCACAATGTTTCCAAATGGCTGTGGAGGCGGGTCTTCTATAAAACCACTCAAAGTCGCAGCCAAATGGAATGTCCTTCATTTTGCAGCTACGAGTGCATCAACTGTCTGCAGCATTAAAAATTGGATTTACTAGTAATTGGGTCAAAACAGGGTTACTTGTGGGCACAGCTGGTTACTGACCAGTGTAATTAGCCCTTTGCCCCTCATTTTATGGTTTCAGTCTCTAATTACACCTGAATACAGCCGGCTCAGATTTAAGGAAACACATTCTCAAAGGCACGGCCACTGTTGCCCTTCATCAGCCTTTCAAAGGAAATAAGAGAAAGGCTTGTTGGAAAGCTGTAAGTTTTGATAATTGGCCATTAGGGCTATGAGACAAAAATAATATACCAGTTTAGGAAAAGTTTTGCAGTTGCTAACACCTCTTTCTCAGTCTCCTCTGAAGACGGTATCCTTGGAGTCATTGGTTAAAAACTTCAGCAAAGTGAGCAAACCAAACTGGACCCAGAAGCAATGAACTAAAACCGGCAACTCCTAAGTAACTCATCCCAATATTGTTAAAGAATACAGAGTTATTCGATTACTATATAGCACTGTTTGCTTCTCCTTTCCACCACCAGCCCCCCAAAAGAAAAAAAAAGGCCGATCCTCTCCTCAAAAGTTCAAAGAGTTCATCAAATGGGGGTCTTAGTATTCAAAGCAAGTCAATTAGATTGCTTAGTTCATCACACTTCAAATCTCCATCCTGCATGTCACAATAAAGACATGTACGCTATCTTTTAAATGTTCAGCTTTCAAACTGATACCTGAATTAAGGACCTAATTACATTTATAAATGTCACGAAATACAAAAGTGAATCCTTTAGTCTTACAATCCCACAACTGCAAACTTGTTACATTGCTAGCTGAGACTGTTCCCAGTGAAATATAAACACAGAGAGACAAGATCTAACAAAATTAATTACTTCACATTAGATTATTTAAAGTTAAATAATCCCGTTAATAACAGTACTGAGAGAGTTTCCACCAATTTATTTTAAAAAATCACATTCACCAAAGTGTCTTCAGATAAGGAATTTTAAGACCAATTCAGAACGTACTTCTAGTTAGATTTTAGTGTCCTGGCCTTAAGACAATACGATCATAAAATAAATCTAATATGGCAAAATATTAAGAGTGAAAAGTCTAACTTTAGCAGACTTCAAATTTGCTATTTTTTAATTGAGCTACATTAGCTTTCCAAATAAAAACTCAAAACTATAACATCTTCGTTCAGCTGTTCTATGACATTGTATATACAACACCTAAATGTTAAATTCACACATGTATCTATATTCTGCATTTCTATAGCTAGATAGTAGCTTTGTTGTTAGTAAGTTAAAAGTACGTGGACACTTTCTGCTCTAGAAAAAAAAATTGTGGGGTTAAAAAAAAATACAGTTATTTCATAATAAACAAAGTTTGGCCAGACCTGGTTCTAATGCTTATTGATAAGCCTTCTCACTCCAACATCACCAATAAGAACATACCAAGTAACTAAACTATTAACAAAGCAAGTCGCAATTCCAATCTCAGTAGGCTGTCTGCCCATATTCCCTTTATTCAATCATTGCTTATCCTTAAAAGAATATAATATTTACTCACTTTCAATGAATCAAAGCAGGCGATTACGCGTCCATTTTCAACTTGGCAGCTTTTCGATGGATGTGCAAATTTACATTCCGTGTCTGGCCGTGAGCAAGTCCCCCTTTGGAACTCTCTACATACTTCCAGTGTTAGCCATTTAGTGTCCCGAATAGGTGTGACACTAACAGCCATGTTTAGATTTTACAGGTAGTTATAATTTTCAGTGAAACCAGCAAACCAAATCCCACCTGGGGGGTGGAGGGGGACAGCAACAGCCCCCCACCAAAAAATAAAAAATAAAAAGGCTGAACTGATAAAACTGGAAAATAACGATGAAAATTTCCCTTCCAAAATACTTCTGCCCCACTCCCTGCTTTAAAAGTACACGGAAAATTGTGTTGTTGATAACAAGGAAAAGATGATCTCCCACTAGAAATTCACAGCACGAAACTGTTACTTGAAAGAAGTTTGGTTTTTAGAGGAATACTACAACTGGAAGTAGATGAACGTTTAAAAGCAGGGCCTTGGATCAGCCTTGTGCTCTCAGTAACCCCTTCCCAGTGCCAATTTGGAGCCCAAAATGCAAGCATGAAAACGTGGCAGACCCTTTGACACCAAATTTCCAAGCTGCTTTCAGCAAAGTTGTCTGAAAGGGAATCTCCTCACAGCTGAATTTGCAATGGAGTTTGGTGGTGCAGTCGGTATTGATTAGTTTGGCATAGACAGATGCAGCAGTTTAGAGCAAAATCGAGAAAATGATTTTTTGTTTTCCTCCTTGATTTCCTGGCAGAAGATATCTTACTTTTCAGCAAACTTTTCTTTCAAAACTAAAGCAGCCTAGTGCAATGCCAGATACTTAGAGCTTTTCTCTTGATTATAAGTAGAAATGGGGTGTCTGGGCTAGAGGTGGAAGGTGGAGGTGCTGTCGTCACAGTCTAGCTGGCAGCAAGCAAGGCAAAAGCAGAGACTGCTCTAGAAGCGGTTCCAAGCAGCAGAGACGTCAGGAAAGGCACTTCTTAGTACCAACCTGTAGAAAAAAGAGATAGGTTCAGATTTACTAAGGAGCATTTCACTGATGTCCTACAGTATCACAACCTCGCCATGTGATACCAGGCTAAGTAATATTCAAGGCAGCTTCTCTCTCTCTCCCTCCTTCTCTCTCTCTCTCTCTCTCACACACACACACACACACACACACACACACACACGCACACACACACAATACTTACAGTGAGGCATATTGCAGCCAGCCATCGTAGATTTATTTTAAAAAGGGGCCGTTTCCCCTTGTGAAGCAATGCATGATAGAGAGATAACCAATCACAGATAGTGTTGCAGCAATATTCTGGGCAGAAAGCCAATAGTGTGGGTTGTCTTATGAAAGGTCGCGCCTGTCAGACGTTCATTACTATGCTATAAGCACAGAAAATGTCCATCAGATGTGACTTATTCCACTGCAAGAGGACGAGCATGTGGGTTTTGAATTTACCCAACATGCAGTTAGTGGACTAAACCATGTTAGTTTCAAAACAGCTTCCAAGACAAGTCCAAGCACTTCAAGATCACTACCTGGGGATTATAAAACAAGGTTTAAAAATTGCAGCTGACTTCCAAGCTGCTTTCCCTCCGGCACCGCACAGGGACAGGCACTGGACAACCTGCCCCTGCTGTCCTGACACGTGAATAAAAAAGGAAAGGGGTGTTTACAAATGGTACATTCTCCTGACCTATCCAATTCACTTCCTTCTAAAGCCCAAGTCCTGCCCCTCCACTGAAAGCAGCACTCATACTGTAAAACTATTCCATTCAGCCGGCAGACACTTTGTCAATACATCACAGGCAGGCGAGATATGAACAAAAGCCACCTTTATTCGAACATTTTTTAAGCAGAAGCTGAGGTCACGTGGGGAAAATAAGAAGTGCAGTGTTGTCAGTGTGTCTGGCAAATCCAAAGTCAAACTCGGGAAAGAGTGATTCCATCGCAGAAACATAAAATATGAAGGGAACACTGATTTGGCTGCATCATATACTTCTTAGGTAGAGGTCGGTGAAGTCAGTCAGGTGGGGCTGGGGGGCATCCCCATTGCCTAATGATCTGTAAACTACCCACCACCAGACTGCCTCTCACATCGTTTTGCTTTACTTAACAACGTACTTTCTCTTTCAATCTAGATGCAGATTGTTCGGGAAATTTTTATTAGGTACAAAAACAAAAGTATACATTTCTTTTCCCATTTGAATGCTGCCAATAAAACGCACAACTTTTGAATTTTTTGAAGTTTCGTATTCCAAAGAGACATTAGCACAGTATGATGAATAGTGTTTGAGTACACCATTTCATGGGCCCAACATGATCTTTTAACGTATATTAAGTTCCTAATTTGGAAGTCAGATTTATATATGAAAAAACTATGTGCAGATATAAAAAATTAGTAAAATTTTAAGCTTTTATTTTAGTTTCAGGATTTACATGTCATTCTTAATATTACATTCTTTTGGGACTGGCCAGATTTAGAAAATATTGGATTAAAACTACAACTTTTGAGAGACTCAAAGGACAAACTCATCTCAATATTCAAGAATATTTTTTGTTTTGCTTTTTAATATTTTCAGATTAAATGATTGATAAAAAAGTCATGTCAGTTATAAACGTTAAACTATGTCTAGCATCCTGAACGTTTCTTCCTCACTCATATAACTTCATGCCTTGTGCACAGATCAAATGCCGGCCAACATAGACCGACCACACGTGTTGGTCCCTGCTCTGGAACTGTCGCGTGCCTTAGCGTCTACCACCGGGAGTCACTCCCCCCTGGAAGCTTGCTCCAGCTCTATCCAGCAATATATTAAGCACTGCGTCCTCTGGATTGCCGCTGCACCTCCTGCTCTTTACACTCGTATTTTTCCTTCTATCTCTGACCTAATAGGCTCTCAAGGACAACACATTTTTATTCATCTCTATGCCTAACACAATACTAGAAAAATAGATAAAGTTCCATTAATATTGTTAAATTACACTGGGATTACTTCTAGAGCACAAATCTTGACACGCACGTGCACCAAAAAACACATACGTATAAATACATGTATATCACATATGAACACACTGAAAATGCACACCTGAATACACACACACACACACACACACACAATTCAATGTAATTCTAGGGGAGGGAACCGTTACAAACTGCTGGTCGAGTACCACTTAACTCCTCCTAATCGCTAGGAATCCTACCACGGACCCAAGGCAGCTCCTGCCCACAGTTAGCTTTTCTGACATTTCACTACTTTCCTGTTCCTTTTCACCCATGCTCCTCCAGCTGTCAACACCAATCATATTATAGGTTGAGGATAAAATACAATCAAAAGCATGCTCCCCTACCAAGCATGACATTTCCCTGTCACCTTCCAGCCACAGTCTTTAAAATACCATTCTGTACCTTCTCTGTCTCCCAGCAGGTGTTCTTCCACCTGCCTTGGGACAGGCTCCCCCTCAACGCTTTAGCACAGGTGCTGCCCCTGTCTGCTATGTGCGCCAAGTCCTTCAAGCAGCTCCCAACACAGGGAGGCAGTGGCGGTGATGGGAGGCTCTTCTTTCTCCCTAATAGTCTTCATCATGGGTTCACAGTCACATGTACAAAAGCCTTCTACTTCTACACTCGGTACTTTCGGTTTCCTCCTCTCCCATCCTCCTCTGAACACATTTATCACGCTACCTCCCATAGCCATCTCATGTCTCTATTGCTTGACAAAGGCCATCATAAAGTCAAATCCAAAGGGTACTGTTGGTCCTGGTCTTTGCTTAATCTCTATGAGCACCCTACAACGCATTCCCTCTTTCTTGAACCTTTCCTCTTGTTGGAAATATTCTTATTTTCCTGTGGTTTCTCCCTATGCACTATCTGCTCATCCTAATTAGTTACCTAGCATTCTTCCCATAAGCTACTTGTTGTGTGCTCCTGAGAATGGTTACATGGCTTTACTAAGTAGCAATTCACCCTTTGGTTTGACACAAACGTCACCCTTTCAACCACAGATATCCCTACTCCCTTTAAAAATTGTTGAGCCAACTCTAAAAACAAAAATTAACCAAACTTTCCCGCCATAAAATCAATTCCTGATCCTAGCAACTTTAATGGATAGAGTAGAAATGCCTCTGCGGGTTTCTTCTTCCCACAGAACAGCTGGTGGTTTTGAACTACTGGCCTGGAGCTTATCAGCTCAATGTATAGCCATATCTCTGATATAATTTAACTCTCAGAATGTCCTCATATATTCTGTAACTCTTTGCATTACTCGTTTGCCCCTATGAGCTTCCTGAAAACAAGGAGTATCAATTCTATCACTTCCTACTTCCTGGAATGTTCTTAAAATGAACAAATCTTATTTTCAGTAGTATGGATGTAAACAGGCTCACCTGTAAGGAAGTATTTAACTATGACATCTTAAGTGCAAACAACACAAGAACCAAGGTAAATGCTAGAACTAGATACATCAGAATTTTGGGGTGGTTATGTCTAAATGTAGCTACAAAATTCAACTCTAGAATTGATTCTTTGTCATTTCTTTTGCCATAATATGTACAAGGTTAATCACACTGGAGTTCAAAATAGACTTTAGTAACTAAATTCCTGCAAATATTGTTCAAGTTATTTTGATTTTCTACAGCAGAAACATTCCTTGGACTTCAAAAGTATACTGAAAGACCTATAGGCATAATTTTTGAAGTAGAACATGCTCTTTAACTGTAAAAGATACAAACAAGGGGGAAAATGTTTATAAGTAGCCAAGCGTAGGCACTGGGAAATCAGAAGAGATATCAATCTTTTACTGTCCAACAGTCTTAGCCAGACCTGCTGGGTGTTTTTCAGTCCCTAATCTACAGTACTATGAACCAAACTTATTATACCCTCAACATTTTATTTTAACTCCATTGCTTATAGTAGATTGTTGTCTTATATTTTATCTCTTTATTCATATCAAGGAATTGCAGAAAAGCTTAGAAACCCCTGTTTAAGATTTTGGTAAATTAAGAGTAGTATAAGATATATAGGGTTTGGGTCAATAGTGAAGGCCAAAACATTACTTAAACTTGTTTTAGTCCTATAGACAATGGCAATGTTTTGAATTGTGTGTGAAGAATACTCAGATTGTAAGAATTTCTATAAATATATTGTTATTGGTAAAAATAACCATAAAAACATGTTGTTTGTAAATAAATATTAAGAGGAAATGTTCTACTTTAAAGATATTTATTTATAGGAAAATTGAGACCAATCATATCTATATTTATCTGAGCTCAATCTTATCTATCTTTCAACATATAAAAAACGATATACAACTCTTCCAAAGAGGTGGGGGACTGTATGGAGAATTATAAATAGTATTTCAGGTTTTAAACTTTTAAAAACTTCTTGGCACCTCTAAACCCTCAGCAAATCCTCTTTAACCCATTAATCAAACTCTAAAAACAAATTACACGTTAAGGTTTTTCATATACATGACATATACACATAAATATATTCTGTCCTAAGGCACAGATAACCCATTTTTCCTTGGTTAACGACCAAATCAGGTACACTTTCTAACTGAAGCTATGCTGGGGTAAATAGGAAGGGAGATGAGAACATGTGAAAAAATAAAGGTAACTAAAGCCAAAGACCAAGTGCAACATTTTTAAAATGGCATAGGATAGTCACTGATATAAACAAGTATTAAATGAATGACATTGAGTTGACCTTGGATAGCTTGAAACATATTTCTATCTATGGGTCTGATACATACTATGATAGAAGATAAATAGAAACTTACAATATGAGTGAATGACATTTTTTTGGAGAGAACTGATATTTAGGGGCAGTGTTACACTTCTTAATCACAGCTGTTTACTAATGATTTCAGTTCTTCTAAATCAAACGTAGACAGTTTGGTCTGATTACATCCCAGATTAGTTGACTGGGATTTGGGGGAAATTCTTGATAAGCTCATGACTTTGACACAGGGGAAACACTGAAGAAGCTGAGGAATGATTTGGCGTGTTATATTACAATTTTTATTAACTGCAACAATTTGGGCTGAGACAGCTTTGTGGTGTGTATGCAGAGATGCCAAGAAGAGTTCCCTGTGGCACCCAAACCATAACTTCTCCACTGGCCCAGTGAGGTCAATGAGTTCATAATTAGCTATCTTTTATTTTAGGAAATTAAGTTTGCTCATGGGGTGATTCTGCTACAAGTTATCCCAAATATTATCAGATATTTCAGTTTGCAAATGAGTACTTTTGGAAGCTATGTAGCCATTTCTCTACTCACTAAGGCACTGGATAGAGTCCTGGTGCTGCTATTTATGATATCAGAAAACCTGTGGTTTCAATGGGTAAATACAGCCTTCAGCAGGATTCAACTCCAGTCCGCAGAAAGCTGAGAGCAGGGTTTCTCAACTAGAGGGAAGCACACTACTGCGCGTAACACTGTGATTTTAGATGATGCACAAACAACATAATTTCAA